GCTACTTGGAAGGCTGAGGCGGAAGCATCGCCGGAGCCCAGTAGGTCGAGGCTGCGGTGGCCGGAAGCGGCCACTGCACTCCAGTCTGGGCAACAGAGTGAGACTCCAACTCAAAAAAAAAAAAAATTTTTTTTAATTAGCTGGGCATGGTGGCACATGCCTGTTGTTCCAGCTACTTGGAAAGCTGAAGAAGAACCTGAGCTGCTAGCAGGTCAAGGTTGTGGTGGCCCTGAGCGTGCCACTGCACTCCAGTCTGGGCAACAGAGTGAGACTCCAACTCAAAAAAAGAGACACATGCACAGTATCTGTGGTATTAAAGTCTCGTGGTGGGTGTCATTAGGAAAAAAATCTCCTGAGGGATCTCCTGAGGGGGCAGTAATTTTTAAAAAGCCAAGAGGTCGGGCTCAGTGGCTCAGCCTGTAATCACAGCACTTTGGGAGGCCAAGGCGAGTGGATTGCCTGAGCCCACCGGTTTGAGACCGGCCCAGGCAACTTGGCAAGACCTCATCTCTACAGTAAAATAAAAAATTAGCCAGGTGTGGTAGTGCACACCAGTAGTTAACAGCTACTTGAAAGGCTGAGGATTGCCGGAGCCCAGCAGATAAACACTGGGGTGGCCGTGAGCATGCCACTGCACTCCAGCCTGGGCGACAGAGTGAGACTCCAATTCAAAAAAAAAAAAAAAAAACACCTAGAAGCACTGGTCTGGAAAGAAAGGCAGTCCAGGGGATAGCTTTTTACAAAGCACTGTCGTGGCCTCTCCGATACAGATGTGGCCAGCGTCAGAGAGGCTCTTGAGGGCCTGCTGGGTGTGGGGAGAGTTCAAAATCCTCAAGCACCTACTCTGTGCCACACTTGCTATGGGCTCCCCAGAGGGGATTTCTTCTCTTTACAGCAACTCTGGGAGGTAGAACAGACCCTTCCGCCCTTTGCAGCTAAGAAAACAGGCCCGGGGCAGGGGATGACTTGTCCCAGGTCACGCAACTGGGAAGCGGCAGGGCCGGGTCCAAAGCCAGGTCTGTAATTCTCCAGAACTCACGTTCTTTCCGCCACGCCAGGCAATGCTGGAGTCTGCCCCCTCGGCCTGGGGGTGCAGTCGGACCTCGTGCCCCTGCCCAGGCTTTCCCACGGGTGTTCTCAACTCCCCCCAACCAAGGAGGATGGAAGGAGACTGTTGGGAACTATCAGACTGGCAGTATCAGTCCTCACCCTTGGTCACCAACTGAATCTTTCCGAAATGGTAATTCACAAGCTCCTCTCAGTCTCCCTAAGCAGTGAGTATTATTACTAGGTGGAGGAGCACAGAGAGGTTAAGCGAGTTGCTCAGAGTCACGCAGCAATTCGAATGGAGATGTTTCCCAGATCTGAAAACACTTCCTTCTTGTTTCCCTTCTTCCTGTCCTTTGGTCATCTCCTCGTTCTCTCAGCTGCCCCTAGGGAAGATAGGAAGGGGCTTCAGCAGCAAAGAGCCCGACTTCCATGAGGACTATGGCTCTCTTCAAAATGAAGACTGTGCTGAGGACGACCCCCAGGGCAGGCTGGAGCAGTGCCGTCTGGAAGGCTACAACAGCCTAGAGGTCACCAACGTATAAGGAACCGGCAGGCCAGCATGGAGAGGCCTGGGAGGGAGAGTAGCCGGGGCCCAGGTGCCATCCCCACTGTACATAGTGACCTCAAGCTGGGGGTGTGCCTCTGCTCCTGGGCAGCGTCCCGACAGCTGGGGACACTGAGAGGAGCGGACACCAGCCTGCCTGCCTCAGGTGGCCATGGACTTGCCCGCTCAACCACAGGAGACCGGCCTGGAGGATCTGTCACAGCACCCAGAGACCCTTAGTCCTCCGGGGCACACGGCCTCCATCTCAGAGCACCCACCAGCCGTGGCACAGCCCCAGGGGGTCCCTGAAGCCTCGAACTGAGTTGCTAGGGTGGGCCGAGGACCACGGCTCCCCAGAACACCCCTGGCGGGGTGCAGGGACTCCCACAGGACACCCAGCATGTTGTGGGCATTCGGGGCAGGCTGAGCCAGATGCAGGAAGTGCTGCCTCTTGCAGATATCAGACAGAGGGGGCGGGGTCTCGGCCGCAGCACCTTGGCTCCTGCCCCGCCCCTGCCCGATTGAGAACTGGGGTTCTGACCTGGCTCCCCAAATCTCTCTTGGGAGAAGGCGAAGTGGGGTTGGCCTGCCTCCGGCCTTAAAGCTCTGGGTCATGTGGGGGAGCTGCTTCCCATCGCCCCCAGGTGTGTCTCTCCAAGTCGGGGTGAGTGACCTGCAGCCAGTGTGGGGGAGGGAGGGGAACGTGCAACTGTCCTGTCACAGAAATGAAAGAAATTACAGCAGCAGGCTCAGGGGTGACAGAGCCCAGTCAATGACAACCATCCGGACCATGGCGATCGATGGGTTTGGGATTTGGAGGTCTCTGTTCCCTGGGCGTGCTCACCAGCGTCCTGACAGATACGGAGCACAGCCATGGGGGACAGCGGAGCAAATCCCCCTGCCCTTTCCATGACCTGCCACTGTTTCGTTGTGTGGCTTCCTTCCAGTGGCCTCACCTCTCTGTGCCTCAATGTCTTCATCTACGATACCCCTGGCTCCCTCCCAGGGGTGTCAGGAGGACTAACACTTGCTAATGTCCATAACACACCTGGTACCTTCCCAGAAGACAGTGGGAAACCACAGGGTGCCTGACTTCCCATCGACAACACAGAACCGACCTTGAACTAGTTCTCTCCAGTGCTGTGTTGGCTGGAGCAATTTGCAAAAGGAAGAAGAGGAGGGTTGGGTGTTGGGGCTCGCCAAGAGCCCCCCTCAGGGCACAACAAAACATTCCCGGAGCACAACCTTGAAAACCAGCCTGACCCAAGTGCCCAGGCCTGCGTCCACGGACCAGATGACTCTGCCACATGGAGCGTGGGGAAGGACAGAGGCTTGGGGACCTCCTTGCATGTGGACTGTCAAAGCGAATCGCTTGATGGAGCCTCGATGCCCAGCTTCTCGGAGGCCATTCTTACCAGAAGTCAACGGGAGGCTCGAATGCCCAAGATTCGCAGCTGGCGTCCGCCTCTGAAGACCACTGGGCACATGTTCTTGAACCCAGCAGGTGGTTTCCTCTCGTAGGAAAAGCCGGGTCCTGATGACCTTGAGAACCACCCCCTCCCCAATGCCGAAGACCCGTGGTTTTCTCTCTAACCCTGATGCAAGCACTGCCTTTCTTGCCACCTGTTGGACAGGTGGGCATTTGGTCCCCCAAGGTCATGTTTCTGACCCCAGGCCCCGAGGGGTGACTCTGTTCCTAGGGCCTGGCTCTGTGCAGCTTCCAAACCCGCACCTTGTCGATCTTCAACCTGATCCCCGGCTCAGAGTGGAGAGGTGAGATCTCCCTCCCACCTGGCGCCACAGTTACCCCCAAACCAGACTGGAGGACCTGGGTGCCGAGAACCTGCCTCCTGGGAGGAAGGAGGAGCAGGGTGTCCCGGCAGGCCGTTCTTCCCGCAGAGTAAGCGAGAGTGGGTTAGCTGCAGATCCAGTGATGTGACACCGACATTCGCCCACGCCATCAGAAATGGCACGTGCGTTGTTCCCAGACTCGATCCTGTTGGGGACACGAGGACAACTGGGGGTCGCTGGCAGAGGTGGCACTGCCCCAAACACTCGCTGCATGAGGCCAGCAGGCCTGGGAAACCGCAGATGCCCCTTTTGGTCCCAATGATGCCACCACGGCCCCCTCTCATCCCCAAGGCCCCCCGTCCCTGGCAGCCAGGTGAGTGTTAGAGCTGGGTCTTCAACATGAGGATGTGCTGGCTAAATTAACAACCTCCACAGAGGCAGATTGGGTGAGCTGTGCTGCCTCAAGGGTGGGCAAGGGCGGAGGGCAGAGCCTCGGGAGAGAGACTTGGGAGCTGGTTCACACCCTTGAGACACCTCCAGGATGGGGGTGCCACATCCTGCCCACACCGCCTGGGTGGCGGTCTTGGTCTCTAAAGGGCGACTTGGCATTGGGGTCTGGGAACAGCAGGCACGTGCTTCTCACAAGGCTGGGCAGCTGTGCCCATGGGTGCTGGCCCTTGAAAGGGAGAGCAGTTTGGTGCCAGCGCTGGGGGGCACCAAGATAGAGGTGCCCCATATTCCTCCCAGAAGCTGGGCTCGGAGCCATCAGAAGGCTCCTGCCTGCTGGGCTCTCGGCTTTCTGACCCTGGCCGGATAGGGCCTTTCTCCTGGAAGTCTGTCTGTCCGTCGGCATCGATGTCATCAGACCCCAGGCTGCAGGAGGCCAGGAGATGCCACACGATAACCTGGACCACACAAAGCAGAGGGGAGGGCATCCCCAAAAGCCCGGCCAGCCTGGAGAACCCAAAAGCCTGAGGCCACTGAAGGGGGCTGGGGTCTCAGCAGAATGGCAAGATTTGGCGAGATGCGACTTTGGTGTTCACTGCAGGATGCCTGGGACGCTCAAGCCTGGGGAGAGGAACGCCCTGCCCAGTCAGGCCCAGCGTCTCATTGCCACCTGCCTTTGGGGGCTTGGTGAGCTCTTCCCAGATGAGCTTGGGGCAGCGGCAGCCTCTGAGCCCACGCTGTCCCCCCTGGCTGGCTGCGGAGGAGCGTCTCCAGAGCCCTGACCCTCAGGGGCCAGTTTGTGGCTGCAGAGGAAACGCGTTGTCTGTGTACAAGGACCGTGTCCTGGCCACGCCCTGAATGTCCTCCCCAGAGCCAGTGTTAACACTGTAACAATAAATACTACTGCACAGCGCTTTGCTGAGGAGGTGGGCTTTTCTGTGCGTTTTCTCATTTAGTTTTCCCAGCAGCCTCGATGAGACGGGAGACGATGACCCCATTTCATGATGGAGAAACTAAGAGAAGCCAAGGGGTTTGCCCAGCTCCAGAAAGAAGTAGTCATGGAGCCCAGCTGCTTCCAAATCCCAGGCTCGTCCTCCCCTCCTGCACTCTCCCCTCCTCACCCTGTCAGTGTTGGTGAACTTCCCGCTCCTCACCACCCTCCAGCGTTGAAATTACCTTACCCGGTGCCGCCACTCAAAATGCAACTCAGGCGCACCCTGTCCTGCCAGAAAAATCCCTGTCAGCATTGCCTTCTCGCCCGGGAACCCACAGCCAGGGAGCACCTGACAGTTCCTCTCCCTTGGTGTCATGAGCTTCACTCTGTCACCCCTCCCGGGGGCGTTTACACCTTCAGATTGCCGAGACAGACCTTTAGTGGTGGGTTCCAGAAATCCCAGGGCATCACGCCTCAGACTGTCACGTGTATTCAAACCACTCAGAGAGGTATTTTTGGAGTACAGTTGCACACCTGGGCAGCTGGGGTCAGCCCGAGACAAGCATTTCTTTTTGTAGTTGTTTTTCTGGGGGTTTTTTGATTTTTTTTGTTTTTGAGTTGGAGTCTCACTCTGTCGCCCAGACTGGAGTGCAGTGGCCGCTCCTGGCCACCGCAGCCTCGACCTGCTGGGCTCCAGCGATCCTTCTGCCTCAGCCTTCTAAGTAGCCGGAACTACAGGTGCGTGCTACTGTAATAGGGAATCGAGCCGCACGAGTCCGTGTCCGGTGCCGAGTCAAAGTACAAAGAGAAGTTTATTGAACCGAGAGCCAGCTGACGACCACTTACCCTTGAGACACAAAGTCCCAGGTGCGCTACCACGCCCGGCTAATTTTTTGATTTATTGCAGAGACGAGGTCTCGCCAAGTTGCCCAGGCAGGTCTCGAACCCAGGGGCTCAGGAAATCCACTCACCTCGGCCTCCCAAAGCCCTGGGATTACAGGCTGAGCCACCCAGCCCGGCAAGACGAGCGTTTCCAACCAGCTCCCAGGTGATGCTCTGGTCCGGAGACCTCACCGGCGATATGGCGGTCATGGCAGATCGGGTGCCTCCCCAGCAAAGCCCTGATCGCAGACTGGTATCCAGATGGCCCCGATGAAACCCCACCTTCCCAAAGCAGACCACTCGCTCCTCCTAGGCCAGGCACCCGATCCGACGCCCTGGCCTGTCACATCAGGTGGGGTGTGAGTACCCTAGAAGTGCCTGTTGGACGGGGGGATACTGGGAGAAGACACCAAGACGGACCTGGGGTCGGGCTGTTTCTGTGGGCCGGCCACGAACACTGTGTGTGTTGACTGCTGGGGATACGGTGGGAGGTGAGAAACTGATGATGGGGTGACTGATTCCAGAGTGATAGTGTGATTGTGACATCACATGGTGGGGGGCTTCTGAGCTGATACCTAAGTTCTAGAAGCCAGATCTGTGGGAAGAACACGCCAGACTGGCAGTCCCTAAGCCAGCTGCTGAGGATGTAATGGTGAAATTGTTCTGCCCAGCCGCCACCCTGCCAGAGCTCACAGTCTAGTGGGGAAGACAGACATAAATCAAATACTTCTCCGTGTGTCACCATGACAGGCCTTGAGAGCAGAGGTAGCCAGTAGCCAGATGCCTTGTCATCCGGGCACTTAATGCAGTTGAGAGGAGGTGAGGCCTGGGCAGAGGGGAGTTCAACAGGTGAAGAGGATTCTAGACAGCAGGAACAACATGTGCAAAGGTCCTGTGGCAGGAGATTTAGAGCCTCACGGCTGCAAAGGGTCCATGTGGCTGGCGTGCAGGGGGCGAAAGGCTCATCTATTGTGGGTATTGAAGGAGCACCAGGCAGCAGATTGCCCTGCTAGATCT